CCTGCTTCCAGGTGTTGGGCAATAATAGCAATTGACTGGGCAATTAATGAGTCTTCTTGCATGTCCAGCTTCCAGTTTTATGTCACGTAAAAAATCGTTTGTGTCCATGAACATCAATTGAACTGAACTTGATCTTATGGTTGGGTATTATGTAGATGGTAATCTATTGCATAGTCAAACTGGTTTATGCTCTTTCTTTAAAAAAAAAAAGAAGTCTAATAGTTCTGGTTGTCTGAAATCTCGCTCTCCCAGCAGGAGGTCAGTCGGCGTGAGGTTTTTGAGCACAAGATCCAGTAGGTCGTGGATTGATAAGTTTTTGCTACTTGTTCTCTTCTGTTTACACTTGATCTCATTTGATGATTTTTGGTTCAGAGTGTTTCTGGGTTATGACTAGACAATATATGTACCTTTCTTGTAGTTGGCACTGAAATTCCCTACTGTCTTGGCAGATTTCTGACAAAGGCAAGGTTGTCGCCGGTGCTTTCGTAGTTGTGCAAGAGTTTGTTATGTTGATGCCAAATATTTGGAGAAGTTGTTTCGGGTAGATGGGTGCTAAATGTTTGGATGTCTTATGTATTTTGATATGTTAATACAAACACTAGGATATCTTTGTATGTATTGGATTCATGTTAGACTACATACTTATAACGCTCACTTAGTTAGAAATCCTCAGTACCAACAGCTTGTGTTCTTGTGTTTGTGGTCAGATTTGAATTATATATGTTCTCGTTAAATTTGAAATATATATATATATATATATATATAATATATATATATATGTTTTGGTCGAATTTGAATTGTAAATTTGAATTTTTTTAGCGAAAAATGTACTGTAGCGGCGGTTCTAGATTGAACCGCCCCCTACAAACAGGTATTATAGGGGCGGCTGGTACTACAGCTGCCTCTACAAATTGATTTTGTAGATACGAGCTGCCCCTACAAATCGGCGATTTGTAGCCACGCTTTGGTAGGGGTGGCTGGTCAAACCGCCCCTACAAAGCATATTTAACGTAGTGACCCATTTTGGAACAGTTTGCCAGCCGCCTGTACAAACAGGTATTATAGGGGCGGCTGGTACTACAGCCGCCTCTACAAATTAATTTTGTAGAGGCTAGCCGCCCCTATAAATCGATTTGTAGCCACGCTTTGGTAGGAGCGGCTGGCCAAACCGTTCCTACAAATACCCATTAGCCGCCCTTACAAAGCATATTTAACGTAGTGACCCATTTTAGAACAGTTTGTCAGAAGACACTCTGGTTCGTTGAAATTAGGCCACATGACACCATGGCCTAGTTTCAACCGGTTGAGAAGAGAGAAATTTTCATTTTTGACATCCGGTGCCCCTGAGCCACACTTGGGTCTGCCCCCAACCTGGTCTAGTTGGACCACATAAGAAACTGAAAAAAACTCAATCTTTCTTCTTCCTAACGAATCGCGCAAGAGGAGAGGTGGGCGCGGCTCCGACGGACGCGAATCCTGCGGGCGCGGCCCCAGCAGACGCGGACGGCGACCGGCGAAGCTCGCAGTTGGCTTCCTCACACGCACGGTCAGCTTAGTAGCGCCGCGGCCTGGGGAGCTCGCAGTCGGGGTTGGGGCGGCGCTCGCGGCCTCTAGAGCTCCCTCGCACTCGAGGTGGGCGGGCGCGCGGCCTCCAGAGCTTGTGCGGCCGGCCATGGCGCATGGCTCGAGCTCACGAGCCCCATGCCGAAGGGCTTGGCCGCCATGGAGTGGCTCGGGAGTCTTGTGGCGGGTGCGGCGAGGCCGGCGGAGGTCACGATCGGGTCGCGTAGGGCCAACGGAGGTCTCCAATGAGCCACAAAGGGGAGCTTGCGACGCTGCCAGCGCCGGATGTGGGAGGGGAAGGGCGGTCGCGACGGTGAAGAAACGAAATAGAACGAATCGAATCAGACCTAACCCTAACGATCGGGTTGGGGCCGGTTCTTCGTGGTCCAAGCAGACCAGTTGAGGCAGATCCAAGTGTGGCTCGGAGGCACCGGATGTCCAAAATGAAAATTTCTCTCTCCTCAACCGTTGAAACTAGGCCATGTGTCCTGTGACCTTTTTTCAACGAACCGTAGTGTCTTCTAGCAAATCGCTCCAAAATGGGTGTCCACCAAAGAAATGACTATCACTTTAGATATCCGCAAGACAATTGTCCCATCTAAAGGAATTGATATATAATTTCCATTCACCCAGTTAAATCCTATACATCTAGTTTGTCTTACCTAATGGATTTTGTTTAAAAAATTAACAAATCTAACGAATAAAATTATAAAACTATCGAATCCTGACACGTGGATTCAAATTAATACAGTTGACACGACCATGCATTTACGTACACACCTACCAAAATTGATCGTCCAAAGTCTAATGTTTCTCACCAAAACCTGGCATGTATATCCAACCGCCTGTAACCGTCCTCCCATAGATAGAGGCTGATCGATGGACGCCAATAGTGTGTCGAAGAGGATGAGCAACAGTAATATTGTTAGCAGGAAGCAGGGATAGGAGACTAAGAAGGGAAGAAGATGCAGAGGACAGAATTCAGTAGTTCGGAATGTTTGATTACATTTTCGATGGAACTGAAGAAGGATCCGACCCTATTGGCAGCCACGGCCACGTGTGTCCTACACATTGTTTCCTTGCATCGCAATTTGCCTTGTTTGACCCATCCCTCTGCTGTCCTATAAGCCAGCGATCGAGCTAATTTAGCTCTGCACACTAGGAAATCAACAATTGTTCGCCTATCGCTCCGCGCGCTCTATCCCGGTCTCCTCGTCGTCACCTCCCCGTGCGACTGCTCCTAGTAGCAACCGCCCACCAATGGTGGACGGTAGGTGTCGCTCCGCGCCTTCACCTTTTTTTTTACTGTCAACAGAGGAAAAGACTCCCCAACTGATTTTGTATTAATTCATTGATCTAGGCTCCCTGGGGATAGCCCATCTTGTTTGAAATACATCACTGATTCCTAAGAATTCACACCAAGCATTTGCTAGGGCTCTATCCTTCTTTGGCAGCTGCATCCCCATAGCTTCTATTAGACGAAATGTCTGTCAGGTTGTGGCTGTCTCTTCCAATCCCTGAACACGACGCCGTTCGTCCGTTTCCAGAGGTGCCAGTAACAAAGCGCCATAAAAGTTCTGAAATGTTGTTGATCAAACGATCGGCTGGGGACGTCTGATTGATGTGGAACCCTAGTTTTTGCCAGAATTCTTATGTGAACGGGCAGTCACCCCATTACCTCGCCCTCTCCCCGTGTCGTGTGACTGCTCCTAGCAGCCACCCCCTTGGGATGGTAGGTGTCATCTGGTGCGCGGACAGTAAGCCCATAACTCAACTTGGGTTGTTGCCATTGTTTTTACAGTATGTTCTTTTAGATTAGTTGGTTCCATTGTGCGGGAGGTAGTAGTGCGGGTTCGAGCCGTGCGCACCCTACTATTAGATTTGCCCTGACTCACTATTGTTGTGAGCATGTAATCAAAATTGTTTATTTGATATCCTATTTAAATGAGAATGAAAATTTTCATTGAGTAATCATGGCCAACTTTAACGGCTTCTTTTAGATCCAATATGAATTCTACGTTGTCGTAGGAGTGTCTAGTAATCTTCATCCTCTGTACAAAAATAACTGCACATCTAAGTTTTCATGCACAGTTTTTGAGACTGACCAAATACACAACTAAAGGTATTAATAATTATGATGTGTAACAAATTATAAATATCAGTAGATTAAATGGTGACATATATTGCATAGGAAACTTATTTAGAGATACAATATTGACGCTATTTTCTATAAAGCTAGTCAAACTTAGAAATACTTAACTCCCAAAATCGAACACGCTATTATTTTGTGATCAAGGGAGCATGTCATGCTTGGAGCCAACAAATCCGTGTGTACCAAGTACCAAGTTCAAATAGATAGTCCAATACTCCAATAAATTATTTAAAAGAAAGCTTCCGATTGGAAGATCGACCACGTCTTTTCATCCCCTGTTCCAGCATTCAAGCTAGGAGCACAAATCATCCGTATTTTTTATGACAACCTTTATTGATTTAACAACACCTTACAAAGACTAGTATGTTGTCCGTGCTAACGCTATGGTGACATTGTCATTCATTTTTATTCATGATCAATCATTAGGACAATATACCACGTGAGAGGGCGAATGACGTTGCGAGGTCAGACTGGTTGAGGAAAGCTTTTTTTTTATTTTTCGGTGAAAACGGGCTAGCTGGGGATTCGATCTCTGAGTGCACGGAGGCGGGGGCTGGTGGGGAGTGGTACCAACGTCGAAGCCAAGTTGAGGGATGATAAAAAGAGCCACAACCCTTAGATTGAATTGAAGCCTCCGAGGGAGGATTGCGAGCCTTTAATTTTAATGTTGTTGTATTCCTGTGATACAAATTGTGTCGTACATAAAAGTTGAACTATCTCAGCGGGAGACACAATTTGGTCTATATCCAGCTTTGTTTTGATTTTGTTCCTTTATAGTGTAGAGACTTTACATGGATGAGTGCTTCCTTGACGGAACACCGATGGAAGTGGACACAGTGTGATCTAAATAAATCATACACATTATATTTGGCACATCTCCAACGACAAGAAGCTTCACCTTAGAGGCTTAGATCTAAAACTATGTGCTAAAATTAAGAGCTTTAGCAATATTTTCTTTTTAGTAGAGAATAAAAAACAGCTCATCAACCAGATAACTTGGGTGCACCAACGGCTTCATTTGGAATCACAGATTTTAGGAATTGGAAATACCCAGGTCAGACAACTTTCTTGAACCTCGATCTCTGCGAATAAATAAATGTACTCCGTATGTATATATACCTCAGCATACGAAATGGACAGGAGACACGCGTGCGCGCGCGCATAAAGCAACGATGAGTTAGCCACTTAGCCCTGCACGCCCGGACCGCATGCATGCGACGCACAGTGAGGCTCAGCTCGATCGACCGCCTGCTGCACACACACATATATGCGTGCATCGCATCGATCAGCCGCGGCACCCAGTGATCTTGCTGCAGCCACGGGTGTATGGGTTGGCCTCCGCCCCAGGGCGAGTGCTGTCGGCGGCGGCGAGCTTCCGGTCGCAAGTGCCGGGGACCTCGCACTCGGCGTTGCTAGCCTTGCCGTAGCTGGCCCTGGCCTTGCCCTCGTTGGGCGTCGCCGGCGTCGCTTCCGCGGCCTCGGTGGCGGGGGTTGCCTCGGTGGCGGGGGCGGCCTCGGTGGCGGGGGCGTACCCGGCAGCGGCGGCCTCCTGCCCGGCCAGCAGCAGGCCAAATAACAGCAGCACGGCCAGCCGCGTGTTCATCGTCACCTTCTTCTCCATGGATGCTTGTTGTCTTTCAGCTAGCTGATCGATCTGCACGGGAATAATTAAGTTTGTTTTGTTGCTTATTAGCGAGATAGAGAGGCAGACCAAGTGTGGTTTTAATAGGAGGTGGTTTGTCTAAGATATGAGTGGATGAGAGTGGATCTAGCTAGGGCGTCGTAGTACTATGTTTAGAGAGAAAGACAACACTAGCTCATGCTTTATTTTGGACGTCGGACTTTGTCGCTCTAAAATGGCGTGAAGCCTGTACGTTTCTTACTTTCTTTGCACTAGCTAGGAATGCATGCACTCGTAGGTAGTACGATGGACGACTGGAGCGATATGCATGATGATCAGTTGCGTCCGATGTCCTTCATGGCCTCCTGGAGCTGCTTCTCGTCGGGCTCGATGAGCACGCCACCCTCCTTCTCGGCGCGCTCCTTGCCGGACTCCGCCGTGCGGCTCCGCCCTCCCTTCTTACGTCATGCATCGACGATCACGAAGGAAAGCGCGCACGTGGGCGCGCGTCGTACCTTCGGCGAGGCGCTCCTGGGCCTCGAGGCTGGTCCCGCCGGTGCCGCCCTTGTTATCCCCACCCGGATCTCGGGGTCCTGCAGCTCCGCCGCCTTCTCCGCCTGCTGCGACGCCATTGTTATCCCCACCCCACCACCAGCGGCGGCTAGCCGGACGCTCTCGCTGACAAGCACACACCGCAAACTCTTCAAGCTACCTTATTATTACTACCTGTCGAGCTCAGCTCACTCTTGCTGCTCCGAGTGGACTCGATCGGCACCGTATTTATACACAGCTCGAGTCAAGCAAGCCTTAGCGAGACGAACCCCTTATCTCCCCACCAATTTGGCCCAACGTTCAATTGGGCCATGGACTCGTGTCCTGATCGGAGGCACCTAGCCGCTCTCATGACTGGTGGGCCCCTGTCACGCAGCGGTATGTAAAGGAGGTGGGGGCTCGGGTTCGAGACAAGAGGTTGATCGCAGCCGCCAGCTCCACCAAGGTTCCTAGCCCTAGTCCGATATAAAAGGGCCCGCTGTGACCAACGGGAAGTACCATTGCCTTCACCGCCACCTCTGCACAACGCCGGACGTCCACACCGCCGCCGGGACACCACTGGAGCGCTACCCGTCGCCGACCTTATCACCGACACGTCGCGGCCACCTTGTTGGCGGCGCCACGACCGCGACTGCCTTTTGGTGAGGTATGTCAGCAAGTCCCCTTATCTAAGTTATGTTTTTACCCACTGATCTACGCCTAGATGGTCCAAGATATCTATCAATGGTATCAGAACAAGGTTAGGTTGTAGATCTAGCCCGGGGTAGTATCAGTTTTCAACATTTAGAAGGAGATAAACGAATCGAGTCGAATCAGGTTGAAACCCCAACCCTAGGCCAAACCCTAAGTGAGAAAAGAAAGAGGGTCGGCGGGACTTACCTTTCCCACCTGCTGGCCGCCACCACCTCCAGTGCCGTGCGGGAAGTACAAGCTGAGCCACCCTCGACGGCGGCGCGCCCACCCTCGGGCCAACGAGCGTGCCGGCGAGAGGCCTCGCGGCGGCGCCATCGTCCTCCTCCGGCCGTGGGCCACCTCTCGAGATCTCACTCGCTCCGTGCGGGGATAGAACAGAAGGGAGGAGGAGCGAGAAAAGAAGAGGAGGAAGGGGAGCCGGACTTGCTCCAGCGGCTGTCTTCCTCACCATCATCGACGGCCACCGCGGCTAGTTCGAGTCTGGGGTAGAAAGGTGAAAGAAATTAGAAGGAGCTCAAAGATTTCTAAGTTTTTTCCTAAACCCTAACCCTAGATCACAGAACGTAGAGGAGGAAGGGACCTACCTGGGTTCTTTCCCTGCCATTGCGACCGCCGTCGCGCGAGAAGAAGGACCCGCCGCCTCCTCGTTGGCACGCGGGAAGACAGCCGAGCCTCGCTCGTCACCGTGCGCGCAAGCCCTAGCCGAGGGCACCACTACAAGCCCGCTCGACGGCGGCGCGCTCACCCTTGGGCGAACGCGCGCGCCGGTAAGGGGGCCTACGGCGGCGACGGCCTTCTCTTCTCTGGCAGCCTTGGGTCGCCGTCGCTGCTGCGCCACGCAATGAGCACTGAGGAGAGAAGAGGGAGGGAGAACGAATGAGTTAGGGTTTTTAGGGGAGCGGCCAGGTCACGGTTTTTGTTCCGCCGAGGAGTGCGGACGGCCGTTCTTTCGAGATCGACGGCTCAGATCGCACGGGCCAGATTTGGTCCAGGCGGGGAAGGAGATTCCCGTTCTTGGCCCAGGTTGCAGCCTGGGCGCGTGGGAGCGGGCGCACGCGCCGTGTTGGGCTGCCGCTGGGCCATGAGCGCGCGGGCGGTGTTTCAATGCTAGGCCGCGTACTGTTTCAACGGGCTGGGCAAAATAAACAGTAGATATCGAGTCATGTTTATTCATTTTCACAAGCAAATTTTGATGATTTTTTGTCTAGTTTAAATCTCTGTCAAAATTTGAACCAACGAGATAATTTTTTCAGAGAGTAGATGAGTACAGTGAAATACTTCTGAAAAGTAGATAAAGTATTTTTTCATGTTTCTGCTCCAAAGTTTAATGCTGATTGTCTTCTAATTAAATGCGAATCAACGGGAGAATTTAATTTGAAGAGCAGTTACTTTTAGTAAATTATTATTATGTTTATCCTCTAATTAACTTGGAACCAACTAGAAAATTTAAATTAGAGGAGTAGTCCGATTTTGTTTATGTTAAATTATGGTATTGTTATTTTCTGACCAACGTTGATGATCACAATATTACAATGAGTTTAAGGTTGAAGTTTAAATCTCTGATAAAATTTACACCAACATGATCTATTTTCCAGAGAGTAGATAAAGATTAAGAAAAGCTCCTGAACTAATAGAATGTATTTTATTATCGTGTTTCACTGTAATGATGTTGATTATCTTCTAATTAAATTTGAACCAACGGGAGAATGTAATTTTGAATAGTAGTTATATGTCTTTCAAATTAATTTATGAGTTTTATGCATTAATTCTATTTTCTGTCCAACGGTGATGTAGAATTGATGCAGAAGCATCTTGTAAGTTTTATGTTTTTTAACCGATGAGATCACTCGGCTGCATGCCAACGGGTTGCAATGCTGGGGTATATAAATGAAAAGGCTTGGGTCAAGCCAGTTCAGGATAGTTTTTTGTTAGTTTACTAATTTTCTGATTAAATTGTAACCAACGGGAAGAATTAATTGAAAAATAAAGTATAAGTGAATATTTTAGTCATCATGACTAAATTTTTCGTTACAGTAATTTGTATATAGATTTATCCCGCATGTGAGAGAAGTTTGGCATAGTACTTATGCTAGTCAATCCTGCATGGTGGAGAAAAGGCTTGGGTCTATAAATGAAAAGGCTTGGGTCAAGCCAGTTCAGGATAGTTTTTGGTTAGTTTACTAATTTTCTGATTAAATTGGAACCAACAGGAAGAATTAACTGAAAAATAAAGTATAAGTGAATATTTTAGTCATCATGACTAAATTTTTCGTTACAGTAATTTGTATATAGATTTATCCCACATGAGAGAGAAGTTAGGCATAGTACTTATGCTAGTCAATCCTGCATGGCGGAGAGAAGTTTTGTAATGACTCATATGTTTTTTTTATCCCGCATAGCGAGAGAAGTTTGGGTAGCTCTTATGCTATACTAGTATTGACCATGGCACAATAGAAATGCACTGTCATGGTCAATACTAATCAAAGGACAAGAAAAAGATACAGGCGTGACTTGCAAAAGTACAGTTAATAAAAGACCCCGTCGAGTTCTTGAAGTGGAATGAGGAAAGTGTACTCCTATACGGATCAAGAAATAACTTTATTTACATGGCATAATCATGTGAATGAAGTAAGTCATAAGTGTCTCCTCGTTCATAGTTTTCTGAATAGTTCTCAAAATTATGGCAGTATAGTTCATGCCATATTTCGAGGAAGAGAATTGTGAGATGAATTAAAAGTAAAAATTAAGATCAATTAAGAAAGATACTCTTCATTAAGAGTGAGATAAAGATTAATTAAGATGAATGTGACCGTCGGAAGAGTACAACGGTCACAATAACGATACCCCTAAGCAGAGAAATAACTAAATTCTTAGAATTTTTAAAGTTTCGATAGGAAAATCGCGTAGTCAGCCTCAAAGATATTAAGGCGGTGCTTAAAGCGCCATATAAGGTTTTAACAGATTAGACCCAAATAAGAAATTTGAGGATGCACTATCTTCATATAAGATGGGATGATCTGGAGGGGCATGGTATGTAGAGACCTATGACTTGAAGAGAAGTGGGACTGTGTGCCCACTTCAGTGATTCAAAACAACAAATTTCTCAATACCTGTTGATGTTGTATAACTTATACAACACCTATTGTTAGCTCTTCGAAGAAGATGAATAATATAAACAAGGATCTTGTGATACAAGAGCCTATAGAATCAATTGCCTCTTGACAATGAAGAGCAACAACAGCCCCATATGAAAGTGCCAGTAGCTGAGGCCCCGGAAGGTCTTAAAGAATTAGTAAACTAGTTTTTCTAATGACTATGAAGTCTATGTTAGTGAAGAAAGTTCAAATGGATGGTGATCCCACCTCATTTGAAGAAGCTATAGAAGTTGAAATAAATTCGATGAATATCAACGATGTTTGGAACTGAGAAGAAATTCCTAATAGAGCCAAAATAGTAGGCTGTGAAAGGGTCTACAAGACAAAATATGACTCCAATGGAAATATAGAAAGATATAAAGCATGACTTGTAGCAAAAGGCTTTACGCAAAGCGAATGAATAGATTATGATGAGAGTTTTCTCTCTAGTCTCATGCAAGGATTCTTTTAGAATCATAATGGTGTTATTGGCATATTATGATTTAGAGCTACATCAGATGGATGTAAAGACGACATTCCTCAACGAGGATTTATATGAAAATGTTTACATGGCACAACCCAAAGGTTTTGTTGTGGAAGAAAAAGAACGTATTGGATGTCGCCTGTAGAAATCCATTTATGGGTTAAAACAAGTCTCTAGACAGTAGTATTTAAAGTTGATGAAACAATAAGAAAGTTTGGGTTTAAAGAAAATGAGAAGGATAATAGCGTTTATGTGAAGTTCAAGAATGGAAAATTCTTTTTCCACATCCTATGTATAGATGACATACTACTCACTAGTAGTGATATTAATCTGCCATTGGAGAAGAAGAAGTTCTTGTCCTCAAGTTTCAATATCAATGATCTTGGTGAAGTGTCATTGATTCTAGGAATTAAAATTCACCAAGATAGAAAGGGGTATTAGGACTATCGCAAAGGCATACTTAGAAAAGAATCTAAAGAAATAAAGTATGCATGCAAGTAAACCTACGCCTGGTCCTATAGTCAAGGGTAATAGATTTGGAAACTTTTAGTATTCTAGGAACCGATATGAGATTGATTAAATGAACATGGTTCCATATGCTTCAGCTGTTGGAAGCTTAATGAATGTACAAGTAAGAACTTACCTTGACATAGCTTACGTATCCGGAATATTTTGGTAGAAGTCCAGTCCAAATATAGATCACTAGAATGGAGTTAAGAATGTCTTGCAATTTTTACAAAGTATCATAGGCCTCATGCTGAGTAAAAAA